TTTCCTTTTGTCTCCCTTCTTGTTGGCCATTGTGCCCGTCTTGTCTCCCTTCTATTTCCTTTTGTCTCCCTTCTTGTCTCCCTTCTTGATGTCTCAAAAAGTGGACTTGGGAATGCTTTGTTGTTGTCCCACCTGTTTGGGGTCTACGGTGGTGTAATTACATTGTACTGTAGGGCTGTATGTACACACGGATAATCCCTTCGAATAACACCAGTCTTGACACCAGTCTTGACACCAGTCTTTGCAAGCCTCTGCCTTGGAGAAGCACGAGGGTTCTCTTGTGCAGCTTGACACCCACAGGACCTGAAGCTCCTGGTCCGTGCGCAATTCGCCATGATGATAGCCTTCCGAGACCCTCTGGACAACAAGCAGATACCTTTTGTGAAAGATGGAGAGAAAACACAAGCATGGCGGGACCTGTCCTTGCAGCTGGATGCAGGCCGTGTCCCTCTATGTGCATCCATGTTTGATGTGATCCTTCGCACTGCTACCATTTGCTACCCGCTACCAGCTGTAGGCCAAGTGCTTTCTCAACAAACTGGCATGTGGGAAGGCCGGCCTTCCTGAAAATCCATGTGCTGAAGGTACTGTAGGAATCTGTAGGCAGGATACCTGGTCAGCATTTTGCAAGATGATTTTGTGGAGGCAACTGGCGTGTGGGCCTGAATTACATTGGTACATCCCAAGAAGTCAGTTGGATGCATTTTGGCTACTTGATAGGGCTGATACGCACCCCAAGTGCAAGATTGAAGTGCATCAGGATGATCTGAGTTGCTGACGAACTGAGGAGCTGGATGTAATTGTGCGTGGCGTTCCCGAAGGTGGAACGCATGAACTCGTGAACATAAGCTCCTGGAACAACATTAAATTTGTTGAAGCTTGTGGCGCTGCAGACAGCCTCATTTGCTGTTCTCCGAGGCTTCAGTTATACTGCATATCATGGTTGCACCAAGCCATCCGTCCCTAAGGAGACACTGCTGCAAGAAACACGGCAAAGTTTCATATATTAATTTGATTCTAAAATAGTTTCTTGTTACTACTAGTAAGGCACTTGTTACTAGAAGCGATGCACTTGTTCCTAGTAGCGAACATTGTTTCAGAATAGCCAGTGCATGTTGTCCCACAAGAACTCAACCTTGCCCACGACCAGCCCCTGTGCAGAGTTGTCGTAGTCATAGTCGTAATTTTGAGCCGGCGACGTAGTAGTTCGTGGGATTCCTTGTGGAACTACTTTGTTGCGCTTAGGGCCATTGTTGAATGAGTTGCTCCATTGCTTTGAATAAGGCTATCAACACCCCTTGGCTTTAGCGGACGGCTAAACACAATCACCGTTCAATGGTTTTATGGTTTGAGTTTGAGATGTTATACAGTTATACACAATGCCGTTGATGGACGAACTCTTACAATGCAAGAGGTAGTGCGGGATTTGTGCATCAACAATGCAATGAGTTTTTGTGGTGTCGGTTCGCTTCCTGTGCCCATGAGTGATTTGCATGTGGCAAACCAGTTGCATGCTTGAGTCTTCTATTGGCCATGGGAACTCCTTCAATGGCATTGCATGTGCATTTGGTGTTTTTCCTCGATAAAGGGTAAAGTTACGGACCATATCTAAAAGCCGTGGAACTGCCTGTGCTACCATTAAATGGCTTGTTCACTGGCTCACTACCACAGAGAGAATAAAGAACGGTCTAGATTTGTACATAATTATTTTGTTAGCCTACTCGGACCTACTCGCATATCTGAATTGCAATACATTTGGACAGCTTTGCGAACTCTACATTCTGGATCTTTGTCAGGGGTGTGCAGACTTTGCTCGGTTTGCCAGCCGTCAGCTTGTGTTCAATTGGAGCTCATGGGTGCAAGAGAAGTTTCCGACTGCTGATGCTGTCCGCCCCTCAGATACAAGCATCATCAAGTATCATGAGCTATCCCAATGAATCTGAAGAAGGTGACTTGCCGAGGCCTGGAGTGAGCTTTGCGACAAAACCATGGAAAAGGTGACTCCCTTGCAAGCTGGGCCCGCCACAGCCCTGGTCGCAGCAGGGCAGGGGGCCAAGTTGGTCTCCAAGCTTCAGAACAGTTCCTGAGACTAAGGTCCCCTACTATATGTTCGGCGAGGTTTGGGGAAAGTGGCCTTTGGCAAACTTGGTGCATCCAGGTTGGCGAGAAGCATTCAGATTCTTTGACACACTAGGCAGCTTGGCAGTTTTCTTTTGTGGTCCTTTCCGGATGACAATGTGACAGGGGTGAGAATGGGAGGGTGAAGGTGTGTACCAACCTGCAGGGCTGTCCTGTAGTGGTGTGGCTTCTATGTTTGGTCAGGGTACGTAAAGATGATGTGTGAAGAGATTATGCCATGCACATGCTGCCCCAAGCTGAGGAGGAACGCCGCCTGACGGGTACGTCGAGCCTCTTGAGTAGCTGGGTTGCAAAACCCCGACCGCTTTCCATTGTCTGAGAGGACACAAATGATTTCATGGGACATCCAGCAAGAATCACTCTCAGGTTCCGAACTGGCTACGGCCTTGCGAGCACATACTTGTCAATGTTTGGATGGTGTGAGATCTTGCGAAAGCAATACCTCACATGGGAAGAAGCCTGGAAAGCGAACCCAGGTTGCACATCGATTGCCGTGAGTCTGAAGATGCAGCTGTTTGCCATGTGGTTTGTGCAAGTTGGTGAAGCCGTTCTGCCTTGCACATGTGCCCAGCTTGCCAATTTGTTCAATGCTGCGAGCTCAGGTTGAGCGGTGCTGAATTTGGCTTTGAGAGCCCCGTGAACTTCGAGAGACAAAGCATAAACTTGAGCAATTTTGTGTATTTGGCGCCTGGCGCATTTTGTTGAAGTGTAGGAGGATGCCCTACAGGCCAATTGTGTGCCTGTGTGCGTTTACTTTTCTTTTGGGAGTGGAGTGGAGGTTAAATTATAATTAGGTTGAGCACGCAAAGATCAATAGCTGGAAGCATGATGGCGTCGCCAGTACGATCCAGTGCGTATGTTGCACGCATTGCCGAAAAGACAGATACACTTGACTTGGCAAATCTTGGCAAGTTTGAGTGTGCTTGATTGAGCCACGCCAGAAGCTGAAAGAACGATTATCCAGGTCGGCCCGGTTGGCCGAAAGTGCGTCGCAGTGTTTTCATAGTTTCACAGAGAAGAGCCTCGATGTTGGCTCAGAATAGACTATGTACCGCTATCACATTCCATAGGTTCGCTTAACTGGATCTGAACCTATCTAGAAGGAGCTGAGCAGACAGCATGCTGGGAGTGCCTGTCCGGCATGGGTTCCACAATCCAATGATATGATACATGTCTTCCAAGGAAGTGGAAAACATCCTTCTGGGATACCTACAAGCCAGAAGAAGGAATGAGCAAAGCTACTGCAGATGAGTCTTTTGTTTATGCCGACGCTGATGGTAACGAAGAGGTGTCGCAAAAGGAGTTGCTTGGTAAGCAACAAAGCTCCACTTCAAGTGTGTTTACAACATTCTCGTCGCTTATATCATGGAATGATGGTCCTTGAGCTTGTTTTTGCCAAAGCGCTGCTTTTCTTTGATTGTTTGTCAACACTATGCCCCAAGTGTGTTTGGTAACCCATGCGTCACATTTACATAAACGTGCGAATATTTTTGTTTGCATTGGTTGGACATTTTACAAGCATTCCATGTTTGCATGAGGTTTGCAAGCATTTACTTCAGCTGCGCCCCAGAGAACCAGGGTAAACCACCAGGAGGTCAAGCTGCACAGGCTGAAAAAGAGGAGGAAACAGCTGCCGAAGCAGCCACGAAGGAGAAGCTGCCAGAGACTGACGATGCTGTATCCCGGTGCTTGTATGAAAACATCGAATATTCTGGAAGCGAAGCTGGGGCCATCCTCCACACACCGAACCTCACTGAATGTCAGGCCCTCTCCTCAATCCTTTGATGGAGTACTGTACCATAGTAATACGCCAGATTCTTGCCAATCGCATGGCGTATGCTAAATGGGCGCATCATGGCGCATCACATTGCACAATGTTTTGTCAGCTTGGTTGTATGCTTGAGTTCTTATTTGCCGACCTACTTATTTATATAGGGGACTTTAGGGGATTGCTGCATGATTGATGATTTGTCCTTTTTGTAGGATTGTTTGTTCAATGCCTTCGTTTGCCTTCAGACGTTGCAAATGCGTCCGACAAGAGGGTCAGTGGCCCATCCATCACCTCTGGTGGTTCTTGGTCCAGGCCTTGGCCCCCCTGAGTGATACCAGGAAGAAGCTAGTGACTAGTGTGGCCAGCTAGCACCATTGAGCTGTTTGTTGACTGGCCTTTTGATAAGTGCACTTTCAGCCGGACCTTCGTAGCAATTTAGAACGCTGCATCACCAACATTGAATGAGGGGGCATGGATGGGCATGGGGATTGTTACATGAGGTGGTGCATATTGCGTTTTACAGCAGCTGCCTGCCTGCCTAGCCAAATTCGTGTCAAGCTTGCTCAGCTAGCTGCTGCTAAATACTGAATTGGCCGTGCCTGGCTTGCTGTACCGGCACTACATTACCGATCTCTTTAGCAGGGACAGCGCTTGTAGTGCAAGACTTGGCAAGACCAATTGTGATAGTCATAGTCGTGCTCGGTGTTTTGCTTTGATCTAGGTCCTAGGTGGGTGATCTATTACACATGTAATAGCGAACTTTCTACGTTCAGTTTGCAGCAAGTGGCGGAGCCCTCAATGTATCAGCAGCGGTTTGAATCTGAGAGAACAAAGGCCATCAAAATCCTTTGGGGGTCCTATATAAGTAGAACTAACTCGCACATATCCAACATTAGACCGATGCTCACATGAAGGCATCGCAAGTGCGCATAGATGTTGTTTACAATGAAACCTAACTTGGGGGTATGGCTACTTCATGTTAGATAGAATGCACAGTCTACTCCAGGTCAATTGCCGAAACACTGCCGGCTGTGGCCACTTCACATTTCGCTATGAAGATGGTAGCTGCAAAATCTTTGGCCTTGATGCAATTTGGCTACCAGAGACGGGGGCTGTTTCTGGCCCGGCTAGATGTGTGGCACAGGTGAGGCTGACGCTTCAAGACCTTGGAGATTTGGCCAAGCTTGAGAAGGAAAAGGACATTTTGCAAGTCGAGATTGCCACAGAATTGGCAAAATCTGCCAAGATACCAGTGCACGACATTCGTGACATGGCCGGCCAGGTTGGCAAGGTCACGTTGTCAGCAGATGCTTCTGCTTCTGGGAAGCTCTTCATGGATTCCTTTGTAGATATGCCTGCTGGAAGCAAACTTCAGGACCGACGCCAGATCTAGTGAGCAGGTCTTCATCCCTCCAGAAGCCTTCTTTGTGTAGCCGGAGTCACTATGTATCCCGTACACAAACCAAGGCATGCACACAATGAGTTTATTGAAGACTGTCCAGGACATGCAGAAGGTAGCAGCTCAGAGCGAAGCAAATCGGAAGTTGCGCGAGGCATTGCAAGCTGACACTGCTTCTTCAGATGCACAGATGGAGGCACGCATTTGTTTCATTTCTTGGGAGTTCTGCAATTTGAGTTGCCATTGCCATTTATATATTTATATAGCTTTTTAATCGATTCTTTTTGTCTTTCAGGATTCGACCTTGTTTCAGTGCACTTTCCCATGTTCTCAGCTGTGCAAGCGAACCAGGTGCTGGTGGAGGCAATACCTTTCGCACAGTGCTTTGTGATGGGGACGAAGTTTGAACCAAATATGGCGGATTTGGCAACAGCACTTACTGCAAGGGCATGCCAAAACATGTGCCAAAGGACGGCAGGCTGCGGCTTGATCGAAGTCTTTGTGTTTCCCGTACCTACCTAGCTTGGCAATGCCTAATTCAGAGGAATAGCTTCGGAACATAAGACGTGGGAAGCTTGATTTGCGTGGTCTTTGCAGATTCGGGTCATGAATGGGTGTAAGAGGTGATTTCCCAAATGGTATTCAGTTTAAGCACACACACACACACCGTTCGGTCTAAACCGCCTGGAGAAATGAGGAACTCTCACTTTTGTGGGTTGAGATCCCAGGTGCCTTCTTCTCGTACCTGCAAGACTCTCAGCAATGCGGTCTACATGTGGCCTCGGCAAAGCCTATCTTCTTTGAATCTGCAATGGCAGGACCTCAGGAATGCCAAGGTCTCCCATCTGTTTACGAACCTTCAGCAGACGAGATGGAGGTAGCAGGAGCAGGAGGCCAGACGAAACAAGGTTGCACCGATTCCGATTCTCGCTGGATCTAAAGCACTCTCGTCACTGGCCCAAATTCTGGATAGGCTTCGCAAGCGCGTGATTGATGCCTACTTCTTTATGAATCTATCAGGATCTATCGATCGATCTACTGCATGTGTCTTTCAGTGTGGTCTTGACCCCCAAAATCATGCTCTCATTTGCATGGGCCCCGCTTTGGCCAGCATTGTTTATTTCTCCATTTGTCATGTTGATCTACCTGTTTGTCTAGATTGAATTATTTGCATTTTATCTATTTATGGTCTCATCTATCTACTGATTTGATCAGTGTTTCTATCTTTCATTATCTGTCTGTCCGTCCGTCTCTCGGTCCCTTGGTCCCTCCGAGCATCCGTCCATCGTCCATCCGTCCATCCATGCCTTCCGCCCTCCCTCCCTCCCTCTCTCCCTCCCTCCGTCCGTCCGTCCATCCATCCATCCATCCATCTTCAATGGGGATCGGAATTGCCTACATACCTACCTAGCCTAGCCCAACCTGAATGTATCCGCCCAACCTGCCTGGTACACTTGCCCGAATACGTGCGAACTTGGAGGCCATCGCTGGTAGGTTGGAGGCCATCGCTATTAGGTGGGAGGCCATCCATTCACACAAATGTTTGCCATTTCTTCTCCTCTTCGGATGGTGGCATAGATGCTTAATAAATGTTTGTACCTTTGCATCACCACTGACTCACACGAAGACAACATGTGCGCTCAGATACCCTCTGTGCTTCCACAGGCCCCACTGCAATGGACACCACCCCGCAGCCTTCAGGCAAAGCAACATCTCCCAGACCCCCAGCCCTATCATCCACCCCCTGCCACGTCCACTGTCCCAATCCACAAGTCTGTTCCACCTCACCGTCACCATACTGTGTAACCTCAAGCCCTGATCCCACACCGCGATCCCATGCATCCAACACCCAGCTAGGCAGGGAAGTCTGTTCTAGAAATTCCTTTCCAACAACGTGTGTCGTGTACTGTGTAGCTATTCGCCTCCAGTGTCAACGGGTCAACCCCCCATTCAACCCTGAACACCTGCAGCAGGCACCCCTAAATTTGAACACTTGACTGCACAGCCTCACGAGACAGTGTGACAAGAAAAGCGCTCGAAGACCCAACTGCACCGAGACACTGGTCCACCTATATGCCGATATACCTGCCAGAAGATTAAGACATGGGGGTTACGAGAGAACATAAAATGAAAATACACTTGGCACAGGCAGAGGTGTGCCATAATAGTATATCAGCAGCGGAACGCCGACGTCCGGCAAAATCCGGCAAAGCCACGTGCCTGCGTTCCTGTCATGACACCGGCGTACTGCGTATTGGATCGGTGTGAGCCATTTGCGGACATGGCATCCATGCACAGTGACACTGCCACGAAAGCCAGGGGGGCCGGTGGATAGCATGACAAGGCCATAGTGCGACGTACCTGCAGAGTCATGATGGTTTAAACAATATTGTTTTGGGCTTCTTCACTTTCCGTTGTGCACAGGGCCGTTTCTGTGTGCTTTCGGCAGGTTGAAAGTTCTAATGCACCTGCTGCACTTGCAGATTCACTGTCTGACCTTGTGCTCACCCGAGCTCTGTTCTAAGTGTGGCGCACCCCGTCTCAAGGGGATTCACAATGCACGCTTTCTGATTAAATCAAATCAGGTTATTTCATGGCAGACAAATCGCAGGGGGCACCTGAAGCAGAGAAAGGGCAGGTGCCAAAAGAAGACTTGAAGACACCTAACGTTTCACAAAAGCTAGCATGCTTGCGGAGTTCTAACATTCAACCACCGCTCAACCGGCCTCCACGGCGGGATCCTGTTGGTTGAGCGTGTGCAGGTTTGGTGTGAAACGGTGGCCGATGCAAACCGTGGTTTGGTGCAAACGGTGGTGTGCACGCTTGTGTAAACGGTGGTTGGTGTAAACCGTGGCCTGGTGTAAACGGTGCTGCTGACGCTGCTTGCTTGCTTGCTTCCTTCCTTGCTTGCTTGCTTGCTTGCTTCCTTCCTTCCTTCCTTCTGCTGGCTGCTGGCTGCTGGGTTCTGGCTGCTGGCTGCTGGCTGCTGTTGTTTGCTGCTGCTGGTTGCTGCTGGTTGCTGCTTTGCTGCTTGGTGCGGCTTGGTGCTGCTGCTGCCGCCGCCGCCGCTTGCTGCTGCTGCTGCTGCTGACACGCCGCTGCTGCTGCTGCTGCTGCTGCTGGGCTGCTCAGCTGCTGGGCTGCTGGGCTGCATTGGTAAACAGCTATATTGCTATATAAGCTCTTTTTAAGCTCTATACTCGCGTCCACCTCCACAGCCATAGGTAAAGTGGACTTTACTATATATTATATGTCCCACTTGATCCCACTTCATTGAAATCTCGATGGTAAGCTTTGACCTCAACGACCGCAGTGCGGATAAAGAAACCGCGAGTGTGCTTCCGCTAGCTTTCGGCCCCCTCCCCCTGGCCTCACGTGCTTGTGATATCGACCGGAGGCTTCCTGTCGACGTACCTGCAGTTGGTGAGGCAAAACTTTTTGTTGTTCCAGGCCTTCCGTTCGCAGTCTTGGAGTCGGGCAATGCAGCAATCAGATCATCAAATATTAACGCGCCTTTGGTACCGTGCTGAAGTTTCTCTTGCGAGCTCTTTCTCAAACGTGTGTCGCAGCGTGCATCTTTCCAAAGGCTTGTTAGGTCGTAAATCAGGTCGGCGGACATGCATTTGACCACGCCCACCACGCATTGCCAACATGCCACGTCCTTCCCTTCTCCCCGCTGGGTCTACGCTCTATGGGATCACCGCGTGTTGGTGTGCCTGGGTGCTGAACTCGGCTTGTGCCAGGTACCAGCTTTGCCGGAGCTCCTGCGGGAACATTGCATTGTAATTTGCCGCATTGCCAGGAAGACAGACATCACACCACACCTTGACAACATGCCACGTCCTTCTTTCGCCGGGGTTTACACCCTAATTACGGGATCACCGCGTGTTGGTGTCGGTGCATGTGCCTGGGCCTTTCAACGCGCAGCTGGCAACCACACCAACCTTCCCGGCGTGCGCCAAACTCAGGTTATAGATCTTATAGCAGCTTTGCTTGTGCTCCTTCAGCAACATTGCGTTGTAATGCGTTGTATATAGCCTGCCGCGTTAGCAGGAAAACTCGCCGATTGCACTCTTTGAGTCGAGTCTAATTTTTCTGTTTTCTTTCTGAGTATGTTTCTCTTCTAAAGGTTTTTCAGGTTGCAAGCTCAGTTTGCTAAGAGCGAGCGATTCGGCTATGTGTGTGTGTGTGCACACCTCTGTTTCCAAGAGATTCTTCGATACGGATTTTACTGATACTAGTAGGGGTTTTCAATTGAGCAGGGGGTTAGTTAGTGATCCCTTCAGCAGTCACTGCCTAACAAAGGCGCTGCTGATCGGATGTGACATTCGGAGAGGACGCTCTCTGATTGTGCCTGCGCTTGCGATTCTTGAGAACCTAGGTAGAACAAAAGCTGTTCCACTCCGGTGTTTCCTGCATTGCAGCAAAGGTCTAGTGCATCGGCGAATCACTTACTGAACTTTATGCTCATTCAGTTGAGCTATGAATCTAAGTGTGACCAGCATTGACCGGCTGCATTTTCCCACTTGGGTGTGCAGTGTGATCCCCGATTGGGGCGCCGAATTCATCACTGGAGTTTGTTGATTCGTCATTGCCCGCTGAGAGCCGTTTCCTGAACATTTGAGCACCTCCGGGAACGGCTGACTAAATGCTGCCGAGCTTACGGGCAACTTTCACTGAGCTCCTACCAGCACTCATCACACACTTCACGCGGCGAGATAACATGTTTGCATGACCACGTGCGCATTACACACACAGAGACACACCCACACCCTTTTTCTCTCTTGCGGTTTTCTTCGTTTGCTAGGTGTTTCTTCAGGATTGTTAGGCTGCTCTTGAGCTTGAGACTCCTGTGGCCGACGCTTCACACACAACCCCACCCTCGGTTTTCGCTTCGTTCTCTCCTGCCTTTTGTTTCTCTTTCTAGGTCTTGTTTTTGTTTGAGGCTTTTTAGGTGCGTAACCAGGCCTTTTTAGTCAAGTGACAGCCGGCTTCCACTAGAGCATTCTGTCTCTAAGAGTTCACTAAAGGGCTAATGCTTCGGTAAAACGTAACCCCAGTATGGCTTAAGCTGTCCAATGCATTGTTTTTGCACTAGTACTAAAGCGCTGTGAGTCGAGGGCGCGCCGCCTTGCGGCTGCTTGTGTGTGCACACCTCTGTTTCCAAGAGATTCTTCGATACGGATTTTACTGATACTAGTAGGGGTTTTCAATTGAGCAGGGGGGCAATGATCCCTTGAGCAGTCAACGCTGCTGATCGGATGTAGCATTCGGAGAGGACGCTCTCTGAACGTACCTGCGCCTGCGATTCTGGAGAACCTAGGTAGAGCAAAAACTGTTCCACTCCGGTGTTTCCTGCATTGCAGTAAACGTCTAGTGCATCGGCGAATCACTTACTGAACTTTATGCTCATTCGTGTGTCACACACCCCGTCTGAAAGGGATTCACAACACACGTTTTTGGATTAACTCAGTTCATATTGGCTCAGGCCATATAGTTCATTGCAGACAAATCACAGGGGGCGCCTGAAGCAGAGATAGGGCGAAAACATTTTTTTTGCTCGTGACATTGACGGGAGACGTCCTGTCGGCGTACCTGCGCAACTTTTTTTTGTTCCAGGTCTTCCTTTCGCAGGGCCATTTCTGAAGTTTCAGGTCGTTCTTGCATTAATGAATCAAGTAAGGAACTAAAATAATAAGGTAATGTTGGTACCGCCTTGAATTGTGCTCTTACGAGTTGTTGTGGTGATTCTTCAAGGAGTTTCTTGCTCTTGCAATTGTTGTCACCTACCTAGCGACCACAAGCCCTGCAAGCCCTGCAGGCAGCATGCTTTCCAATCCTTGGTTCTGGATTGCGCTCATTGTTTTGAGTGCAATCCTGGTGGCTTTAGCGTGCTGGCTGCGCAAATCTGCCGTGTGCGCCAAGAAAACCAAGAGGCGG